AAGATCACACAGATGTTTACTAGATAAACCACACTTTAAGAGAAGTCTTATTCTCACCTGGATTCCTGCTCGTTTACCTCTTTTCCTCCTACGTTTTCCCGGGACCGGATAAACATCGCTGGAGGCGCGCCCTGGTTGGAATTGTTGTTTGGCTCCGGGCCAGTGCGCCACTCAGATAAACAAACAGGGAGGTCAATCCTTGGTGCATCTTGTGCGATCATGAACGAACGGAAGGTCAAAAGAGACTGGCTATCATAGGAGATGGTAGCAGGGACACTACTGAAGAGGATCGCAGACAGGAGCAAGGCGGAAAAGAGGAGGTTAGAGGAGAAAAGTTTGAAAAAGTGGCCGGTGACCGCGGCTAAGCCAAGCATAGGTGCCGTCTTGTTACCTAATGTGGGTACCTGAAAGATCATTATTGGAATCTGGGAATTTAAGTGCCTGGAGTAGTATGTGAGAGATGTCTGCTTCCGAGTGCCCCATCAATGTACTCGTCTAGTGGGCTCCGGTTTATGAGAGGTTACCAAAGGCACTCATCAGTTTCTGAGTGTACGCTATTGCAGGGTCAAATTTAACAAAAATCTTTTGTGTGAACAGGCGGTAGTTAATCATTAACAGGCCTGGGCGCTCTCGAAGCGTGATATCTGAAAAGGGCCCAGGTTCGTACAGTCGCGTTAGGGGAGGCTGTGGAGGAAGCTTAGCCGCGTTTGACATCAGACAGACACAAGCAACTAGCACAAGATACTTTGTCAGCCCCGAAAACTGAAACCAAAGATGATTTAGACTGTAGACTGGCATAGGTGCTGCCTTACTAGAGTTTGGCGCAGGTGTGTGCTCTGGATGGCCCTTGATCGACGTGCAGGTGCAGTCAGAGAGATCAGGGTCAGCCAGTAGAGGTACAGGGCAACATTCAACCCCCCTTTGGTAGGTGAGTCACCCACCTCAGGACGAGAGGTCTCCGGCACCATTAGTAGTGGTGTAGGATCAGTGATGTCATCAGCTGCCCCTTCAGTAGGTGGCGTCCCCACCACAGGGCACCGGGTCTCTGTCATACTGTCCTCACCACAATCAACCCCCCCCTTCAGCAGGTGGTGTTCCCACCGCAGGGTGCGGAGTCTGTGGTGGAGTGCCACTGCAACCGTCAACTACCCCTAGGGAAGGTGGTGTCCCCACCGCAGGGTGAAGTGATTCTGGTTCAGAGACAACACAGACTCTATGGTTGTCACTGACAGAGGTACTAGATCGACTGGTCACTCTGGCAGTGCCGTTGTAGTCAACAACACCAAGGAGGGAACAAGGTCCTCATGGAGCACCATGGGCAGCAGTTGAGTCAACCTGGTCCAGAGCCTCCATCCACCGAATGGAATGACAGGCTTAAAGTGTTTAAGCAGGTCCTCCCCAACAGGAAAGGAAAAGCTTCGATGTCAGACACAAACACTGGGTGACTCGCGGACATGCCACCTACTAAAAATTTAAGGAACACCACAGACGACAAGGTCATTTGGCCTGAAGAGAAAGGACTAATGTCCACGGCACAGGGCTTGAGTTTTAAGACACGACCCTGTCCAGCCGCAGTCAAGCAGACTTGCTCCAAAAGAGAATGGGAAATGATGGTAAAGTCTGAACCAGAATTCAAGTTGCCCTCACAGTCAAGCGACCCCTCAACGGTCACCAGAATGTGAGGTTTCTCATTAGGACCCTCACGGAAGATATCACAGAGAAACCTAAGTGGAGGTTTGCCTGGCGAGTAAGGATTCCCGGACCTGCTGGCAGGTGCCTTGGATGCTAGAGGGCAAGCACTAACAGAAACGACCACCCCAGACCTCGCTGAAGTCACAGGTGTCACCGGACGCACCGTTGTGGCATTTTTCACTTCTGGAGAAACCGCTGTTACAACTGAGTTACGCGCAGGTTCAGCAGGTGCAGGAGGGTGTTTACACTCCTCTGCTAATGAGACAGTCAGAACTGTCTTATATGTCACCGGGTCTTTCTCCAGGACACAAAGTGCAGATCTCAATGCGGCGCAAACTGCACCAGGAGATACGCTCCTAGAACTAGATCTCGGCCTTGGTGCAGGGCTGTAGCCCCTGCGGTCACAACAAGGTGAATACCAGTCAGAGTGAGGTTGGCGCTTGCCTGAGCTAGACAACTTTCTCCTAGAGGAGTAGGATGTCCCCCTTTTCTTTAAAAGAAACACGATGTCTGTCACGACCAAGTCGTGGTGACTTAGGGCTGCCCTCACCAGCCGGTGGGGGGCACCTAGCTTTGGTGAAACTTTGAGATCTGTTATTCGGAGAGCCCTGTGCCTTGGTTGTTTTAATGGACTTCTGGACCTGTGATTTAGCACCAAGCCAGAAGTGTTGGGGTGGGCGGTTGTTACCTTTTTGAATCCCTGAAGCAGAAGCCCCTTCAAGTTGCAGCATGGAGGGAGCTGCCCCCACCGCCAGGACCGAAGAGGGATCCAGACTCATACCTGATGTTTTGAACCATCTGAAGATATTAGCCGCCATTTTCCTGAGATCACTCATGGAGGTGAGCTCAATGTCCACAGCACCCATAGAGAGGCTGTACTGAGCATGTAAATTTTCAAGGAAAAGCTTTTTAAAAGCTTTATCCTCTACCATCCCCAGTTTACATTCTGTACCGAAGTATGCGTCAAAAAGCCAGAGGTAAAAAGCTTGGGGATCTTCAGAGCGACCCTGTTTGATTGATATGGCCCATTTTAAACCAGCAGCCTCGGCAGTGCCAGCATTTTTTTTTCTATTGCAGCCTCCAGCCGGGAGTAATCATTTACAATATTACCCTGCTGGTGGTCAATGAATGACCTCACACTGTCGGAGGTCAGCCTTATCAGGAGCATTTTGTCCTGAAGAGTTGCTCCAGGAAATCTGTCAAAATGATGACGAAGGTCACAGAGATAAGCATGAACCGGGTGTGAGCTCCCTGTGTGAGGATCAAATCTCTTGATGCTGCGTGACATCTGGTAGATATCAGCAGTAATGACAGTAGGGTGCGGTTATCCCGACTGAGGTGTGGGCACCGCTGCAGGCACAGCTGAGGTCACAGGAGGTGAAGGTGTCACCCCCTATGTCCCCCAGTTTGATCAGAAATCTGCTCTTTCAATTTCTCAATTTCCCCATCCTGGGCTTGTAATGCTCTCACAGTTGCTCCGTGGTCATTCAGGAGATGATCCCACTCAGTAGTTAATGTTGAAACTTGCGCTTCTGCTCTCGCATGCCTTTCCAACAACTTTGCATTCTCTTTAGCAGCTCCATCTTGCGCTTTCCTCAAAGCTTCTAACTCAGTAGCTGAAATGCTGGTCTCCCCCACCTCCCTCTGTGTGCGAGGGAGGGGTAAGATACGTCACTTCCGCCACACAAGAGAGATGCAGAGCGAAAATGGCAAGAGATCCTCGGTAGAGAGAGATAGTCTCAGTAGTAGAGGACTAGATACGGCTAAAAGAATGCCGGAGTTGTACCCCATAGGGATAGCGAGTAGAAACGCAGCCAGACGCTGCGACAGTTGGCTGATAGCATCTAACCGTGCTTAACGTTAGCAATGCTAGCTTAGCTTACCACTTTAGCAGGCCTGGACCGATGAGTCCAGATGTTCGGTTTAAATCACTAAAAAATTCAAAACCCTTCGGCAGAATAAGGCATAACATTCATTCATAGGCTCTCCTAACAATTTGCCGGTAATTTGCCTTGTGACCACTCCTCCGTACCGAAATGTAGCTGTAGCCCTTTTAAGCTAAGCTAAGTTTCTATGCACGGGAATAAGAAACGCACGTCTGTGTAAGCTAAAACAAACACAGCTTCAGACGTGATGTCTGGAATATTAACCAAAAATTGTATTATCTCCGTAATGTACTTCGGAATTATGACCGGAATTTGCGTCGGATAGTATTTTCAATTTTAATCCAGCTTATCAGGCCGGAATTGGGATTTTAGCTTTGTGGTAATGTTGGAAAATAGGATTTATCTGTCTTCCAGTTACACAAGCAAGTCATACAAGTAAAATAAGGGAAAAGAATGAACACTCTCACTTTTGATGACAAATAGCCATATATGCAACTTAGTGCAGACATATAATTGGGTAAAGGACCGGGAAGTCCAACTCCAGTTCAGCAGAACAACTGTTTAATGTATTTTATGAGTCAGAAAAAACACAAAGTGTAAGGATTTGAAGAAGACTGGACTTGACTCGCCACTTTGTAGCATTCACACTTTGTAGCATTCACACTTTGTAGCGTGACGACTGTAAATTAATTATGACTAATAAGGTGTGATGATTCCATATAAATATGAAATATCAACCTGATTGATCTTTGATGTTTAATCAGAAGATTATAGTTACTTTTACTTGTTCAGGGACCATGAACACACTTTGTTTTAATTCAGACAGAGTCAGGTATTTATACCCATATATCTATGGGGACAATGTTGATGAATTGTATATGGTGATTGTAATGGCAGTATTTTTGGTTCTTTTGGTGTCTACATTTAACGACGGGTTAAAACCTGTAGGAATACATTTCTGAACTCCTGTAGAACTGGATGATGTTGTCTGATATGCGTTAACCTAGTAGACATATTACACTGTCCTTGTTCTACACGTCAGCCATAGTTTACGGAGAACCCGACATGTCCCCATACTGCTAATATAAACAAAAAAGAAGGGTTGCTCAGCTCTTCTGATGTAGGCATTTGAAATCTAAGTGCTTGGTGGTGTTGTCCTCTACTGATAGCAATGCAAATGTGTATGCGCCAACGTTAGGGTGAAAATTATCAATGCCATTGTTGTCTCTTGAATGAACCTGTCTTTAGTCTTTGTACCATGACATTTCAGTAAAGAACCATGTATCTTTACCCATGTAATATACAAAAAAATCAAGGATTTGCAAGCTCAATACACACAAAGAACATAAAATACACAGAAGAAAACACACCCCACATTTATAAATACACAAAAATGGCAATGATAGTTTGTCTTATTGTCACCTGGAATTGTGTTGTCAAGACAAAAAGCCAGAAAACCTCCAACAAACATCTCAGTGGACAGAAGAACTCTAAGAATCTGATCCAGTTCTGCCAGTCCTGAAGAAAGAATAAAACAACAGATTCAGTCTTACTATGTCAGTTGCAACACTGAATGTGAAAAACAAATAGAAAATGGGCTAACTTAAAATTTTACTAGTTTATTAAAACGTTACCAAAAAAATGCAACTAAAAAACAGACATTTCAGGTTGGATAAAAGGTGAGCCATGTGCCAGATGATGGTGGGTGCATATTTATTCCTGGTGTCAACAACTGGCTTTAGGAATGTGGAACATCATATTTGTTGTAAAAGAGTTAAAGCTCATGTAAAAATACAGCATTGCATGTGTAGCAATTAAAACACATATATTAATTATGACCAATAAGAGGTGATGATTCCACATATATATGAAATATCAATCTGATTGATCTTTGAATGATTAATCAGAAAATTCTAGGGTTATTTGCTTCTTTAGTGACCATAAACACACTTCGTATTAATTCAGACAGTCAGTATAGTTAATAAAATGAACTTAAAGCTTCTTTCCGGAGTATTTCTCTTATCCGATGGCACCATCTAGCGGCTGACAAGCATTTCACACAACAAGTCTATTCCTCTGTTTGTTTAAGATGGCGACTTCACGTTTCTGTTTATAAATGTGCTTCTGTAGCCGACAAACAGAGCTAAAAGACGTTGTTTTATGAGTATTGTTCTCATGTCATTGTGTGTTCTCATATATTTATATTTTAGAGACTTGTCTGTGAAAAGTTCATCAACTCTGCATCAGTCGAGGTATTCCTTAAATTTGAAGCGAGTAAGCGGTAGTCTAACGCTATTGGTTAGTTCTGGTTGGTACTCAGTTTCCTATTGCACAGAGTTCTGCAGGGTAGGGGGCGTGGTTAGCAAAAAAAAAGATGTACTGCTTACATTTTATCACAGTACATGATGAGATAATCACTTTTATGGATTTCAGAAAAATCATACATCATTTCTGAAAGAGGAAAACTCCAGAAAGCAGCTTTAATTCTTTTTCCTAAACTAATAATTTATACATGACAAGATATGAATAATGAGATGTGGTGTGGTGGATGTGAGGTGTTGTGATGGAAGCTAGATGTTGTAGCAACCGTTCTTTGTATCTGAGAGGAATTGTGAAATCTGGGTGGAAAAGAATTTCTTGTTTGTTATAAACTAGAGAGTTAGTTATTGATAAAAACCTCATCAGACACCAGTATGCAGGCTTACGATACCCTTGTATGAGTTGCTCCCGGCGGTCCGGAGGTTTGCGGTTAGAGTGGTGAGATCACCGGACGTCGAAACCACAATACTCGGCCATTAGACGCAACCCGGGGTTTGCAGATTAGGTGTCCAAGGTGGTTGTCTGTGAGTTGAAGTAGCTTTGAAAAGAGCTGTTGTGTCTGTGATCACTTGCAGTGTCGCTTTTGACTTAAGGTCAAAGGAGATAGTTTCAAAGAGATGCTTCTTTCCCGATTTGGCCAAATCGGGGGTCAGCTGTAAACTGAATTAATCGGGAAGTAATTCTTGTTTTATTAAACTACTTTGTTATGATTTCTGGCCATTCTAGCAAATCAGAATATGCCATGTCTGGAAGGCTTTACCAAACATTCCTCAGAAAGCCAAGCCTTCTTGCAGATACAAAGATGTTTTTAACCTTAATATGTATCTTATTGTAATTTGTATGAGTGTATACAATGATTAACTTGATAAATAAAACACATAGTGATTTGTGATATAAATGGATCATTGTAAGAACAATATTCATTTCAAATTCATTGATTTAAGCACAGATTATTCAAACATTTGATTTAAACATCTTGTTCATTTACCACATATGATTATTTAACTTATAACTATAAAATCATGGAGCCTTCACTTGTTCAGAGTGAAGAATGTTGACATCTGGCTTTCACAGAGAGTGCAGGAACCTTGGGAGAGAACGTTTGTCTGGATGCATGTTCATAAGACCCACAGTGGTGGCAGTATTACACTGATTTGACAGCATGGCATGTCTTTTGAAAAGGACTCATCAGTGTGTAAATGTGTGTGTGAATGGGTGAATGGTTGTAGTTGAAAAGGGCTATACATGTGCAGGTCATGTATAATTTATTACTTGAAATAAAGCTCCTCCACTATTGAGTATGGCACAATGTTTATGATTTGTATATTTATATGGGCTGTAGACTCTCTTGGTCAGGTTTCTTCTCACACCAAACCCTCTGTCAGGAATCTTGGCGTGACCTTTGACCCAGCTCTCACCCTGGATTCTCATGTCACTTCTCTTGTTCGCTCTTCCTTCTTCCATCTCAGGAACGTTGCTAAGCTGAGTCCCATTCTGTCCCGCTCTGAACTTGAGACAGTTCTCCACACCTTCATCTCCTCACGCTTAGACTACTGTAACTCTCTTTTCACGTGTCTGAGCAGAACCTCCCTGAACCGTCTACAGGTGGTTCAGAACGCCTGTGCTCGGCTTCTGACCAAGTCCTCCAAACACACCCACATCACCCCGCTTCTCCTCCAGCTTCACTGGCTGCCAGTCAACTTCAGGGTTCTGGTTTTAGGGCATTACTTGGGCAAGCACCATCATACAGTGCATCCAGAAAGTATTCATAGGGCTTCACTTATTCCACTTTTTTGTTTATGTAACAGCCTCATTCCAAAATGGATTAAATTCATTTTGCCCATAAAATTCAACACACAACATCCCATAATGATAATGGGAAAAAAGTGTCTTTTAAGTTGTTGCAAATTTGTTAAAAATAAAAAAACTTGAGGAATCACATGAACATAAGTATTCACCCACAACCCCAGACCCCAACCAGAATGGTCAGCTCCCCCTCCTAGCCTCCAGCACCGGGAAGCCAAGCAACAACAGAGGTGTGCTAAGACCCCTAGTCTCCCTCCGCCTGCTTCAATACAGTGTTGATGCGTGTTGATGAGGTGTATTCCATGGCTGTGATGAGCGGGCAGTGCGGGCGTTGCCTGGCCCACGCCAGCTGATGCCACCACACAACCCCACTTTGCCTTACAGCCCTCTGTGTCTAAGTGCAGCTATAACTGGAAGTGGACACCGGCACTCGGGATGAGGTTGAAAGATCTCTTTGCTAAATGCCATTGAACGTGCTCACTCCCAAGGCCCTTAGCGTGTGTTTGCATGGAATATCGTTGGTGGAAGTGTTTAATGTGCAAAAATAAATTGGGGGGCAGGCTCCCACAGGAACGCAGAAATGAGATCTATACCCGCACCCCCTGACTTGTCCACCCCCTAAGGTCCGATGTGCATGTTTGTGTGATGATGTGAGGGAGCAGGAGGAGAAAATGTATGGGGAAAGGCAAGTAATATTCCACACCTTCCAGGAATCCAAAATAAACCCCACCGGGTGCATTCCATCCAGACAAGCTGGAGTTTGCTGCTTTATTTTCATGGTTGAAAAAATTCTTATCGCATTGAATGACCAGTTGACAAATCCATGACTCAGGCCTAGTCCACACATAGCCGGGGTTTTTTGAAAACGAATATCCGCCCCTCCAAAAACTTGCATCCACACCACCGCGTTTTAAAAACAATCTCTGTCCACACGTACCCAGATAAATACGTTGTTAAGGACATGCCAGACCTGTAGGCGGCAGTACTTCCCCCGTTCTTATCCTCGTCCTTCGTCTGTGGTCTTCCGCAAGGAGCAGTAATTCCACTTGCAAAAACAAACAAGCAGAAAGCGCTTGGACAATTGATGGATCGGGTAGTGACAGAGCGCAGCTCTGAAGGCTTCCATGCTGTCGGCTAGTGTAAACACAGGTCGCACACGTGATGTCAGCATTTTTTGTCGCGGAAAGTGACGTTGCGGACCTTAAAACTCCGGTTTTGTCCGTCCACACGCAGACACCCAAAACGGAGAAAACGCAGATCTTCACTTTGGCCGGAGTTTTTTAAAAGATCCGTTTTCGTGTGAAAAAACTCCGTTTTCGTGTGGATGACAGGCCAAAACGTAGAAAACTATCTACATTTTGGCAGATCCCCGGCTATGTGTGGACAGGGCCTTAATCAAATATGAGTTTACAAGAAGAAGGCACAGAAGCACTCTGTAAACAGACAGGACAAAAATCTTGGGAAAAGATAAGGGAGGAGAGAAGACAAGCGACTGCACTCTTTGAGTACCTATAGAAGACTAATAGCAACAAGAGAAAAAAATACAAGAAGCTAGAGAAATACCAAGGGCTGAAAGATGAAATGGAGAAATTGCCCTAAAGATAGAAGTTGGATCCAAGATGGCCGACTTCAAAATGGCCACCATGGTCACCAACCATCTTGAAAAGTTTGCCCCCTCACATATACTAATGTGCCATAAACAGGACATTAATATCATCAAACATTCCAATTTTATTAAGGTTTATCCATATAAATGGACCACCCTGTATTTTTCTTGCAAGCTGCTTCTGGGACATGTCAATTTCCAAAGATAGCATAGGGCTAGACAGGAAATCACACACAGTTTCAGTGTAAAATGCCAGGTAATTTCAGGTAAAAGTACTATAGCGATGCTATTTCATATATATGTAGCTTACATGTGACCCAATGGCTTATTTTTTCCCCAGTATTGTTCTAGAAGTGCAGCTATGTGTTTTGATGGCTTTAATTCTGACAGTGGAGAGAAGCATCAAATGACATCAAACAGCGATATCAAACATGATTTCCTTCTTTTTGGTTTAATGGCGAATTGCATAAACAAACCGTGACCTGAAGTCTCAAGGGATCTTGTCATTTCATGAGTCAAACATGGAAGATAGCGGAAGCCTTTTATTGGCTTTTAAAGTTATGCATGGCCTTGCTCCGCAGAATCTGTGTGAACTTTTAGTTACTCACTCCCCATCTCGGTCACTGCGGTCAGCCGACCAGCTTCTCCTGGAGGTGCCGAGAACAAAGGGAAAGCTCAGAGGTGATAGAGCTTTCTCAGTAGCAGCTCCAAGGTTGTGGAATGCACTCCCAATTCAGATTAGGATGGTTTCATCACTGTTGGGTTTTAAATCACTTTGAAAGACTCATCTGTTCTCAGTCGCTTTTAATTCAGTTTGAGAATGCATCTGTTTTTAGTAGCTTTTATGTCAGTTTGATATGTTTGTTTTTATCATGTTTTTACTTTGTGATGAACTTTTTATCTTATTTTTAAAATTTTCAGGGAACTTCTGTTCTTTTTGGCTTGTTAAGCACTTTGGTCATGCTTTTATGCTGCTCTAAAGTGCTTTATAAATAAACTTGACTTGACAAGTCTCGAGGGATCTTGTCATTTCATGAGTCAAACATGGAAGATAGCGGAAATCTCGAGGGATCTTGTGATTTTGTGAATCCAGAGATGATTTTTAACTGGTTCTTTAAAATAATAATGAAAAATAATAAAAATGTAATAATAATGGATTAGATTTATATAGCACTTTTTAGGGACTTTAAGGGGTCCACACACAACAGCAAACAAAAAACCCTGGCGGAAGCTTGAATTAATCCTGCAATCCTCTGATCATGTGGCAACCTGCTCTACTTTCTGAGCTACCGCTACACTTAAATGTCTCTTCTAGAATTGTTCCAGCCTCCCTTTGAGGTATTCCACATTTTTTTTACTGACTCACCAGTACTGATGGCATTGGGATGCGTGTCCAGATATGATGGAAGAGTTAGCCCAAAGAACATGGAGAATCCAAGAACAAAAAGATTTCTTGAGGAGTTCAAATCAACCAGCTGCAGATTTGACAGACCAACAGCTGTGATCATACCTGAGTGGCATAAAGAAGTAACAAGAATCACCATTACACAGTTATAAACAGAATGAAAGCTCAGTCCCATTAGCAAAAAACACATTATACATTTATTAAAAAAGATAACATTTCAGCTAAAAGTTGCATAAGGAACATATTGAATTACATTATTACACAGTAATTCAATAAACATTTACAATAAACAAATATTTGATTTAAAGGGATTACAGTAAATTTCCATTCGTTGGTGCAATGGAATTTGGAAATTATCTGAATCTGGCTGTCTCTTAATACCCCAGTGCACTTGTACGGTCTTATGTTATGTCAAATATGTTTTTGGCAAGTACAGCAGAAAGTCTATTCAGCTAAGTATGGGAGGATGAGAATGGCAGTTGGAACAGAACCCTACGCCATTACGTTATAGCAACAATCGCTGCAATATGCTATGGGTAAAAAGATGATTTGAAATAAAATTAAAGACCAGTTTCTCACTTAAATAAACTAATATTTACATTATAGTTGTATAATATTTAATCCACTTTTTATCAGACCTGAGTTATCAGAATTTCCCATTGGTAAGTGGAAAAATAAATGTATTTGTACTCAAAACAGAGCCATTTAAGAAAATGCCGCTTTTGTTTTGATAGTGGGTTAGCTAATTGGCATTTTGAGGGTTTGTGAAGAGTCAGAAAAAAACAAACACACAATGAAAATGTTACTGGTTACACATTGTCATGAATGTTTAGGTTGTAGTAGGACCCAAAGTGAAGGAAATCCAGAAGGTAGTGATGGGTCAAGCAAAACAGATGCGTCAGCAAATGTATCTAGCTCAAAGAGTGAGACCCCATATCAGTGCGTGAATCAATCAATCAATACTTTATTAATCCCAGAGGGAAATTAGAGTTTCAGTACACACAATTCAAAGATCAGACATACATGGGCAAGACACATGACAAGAATTGGTGACTGTGGTCATTCGCAACCTGAGTCGTGCAACCTTAATAGAGATAAGAGGGTAACATGAGGAATTGGTTCAGGTGGAGGGAAAAAAACGGCACTTCACAGCTACCCTCCCACCAGGAGGGCAGCTTTGCTCTGCAAAAAAACACCTCAACAGATATGCAACAGACTTCAGACAACACAACCAGAGACTCCAATTGGGGTGGGGGTGGGGGGAGAGGGGGCTGGGATCCTGTTTCCCCCAGCGAGAGCAGCCATCTACGGCGCTCAGCCACTGTACAGTCACAGGTGGGAGGGAGATCTTGGGTGAAGCGCAGAGCACATTGACTCCTGCAGGTTGATGACCTCGCCAGGCTGAAGTCCACCAATCCGAAGGCGGGGGAGGGGGTGGTATGTCGGGTTTTCACAGCATCTGTCTGCATTCCTTGGTGGGGGGTTGCTGCCGCTCAAGGCTACCAGGGTCAGATTCGGATAACAAGAATTTGTTTGGGTCAGGCTGAGATAATTTTCCTCTCTGCCTTCAGTCTTTAAACTGATCATTGCAGTCCTTCAGTGAAGCCAATTTTGGGTTTTTAAACTTGTCCATACCGCCCGGTGACTCTCTCCGAGCTGACATCTATTTTGCGCACTAATATCGGTATCGCAGCTAGAACATTGTCCAGCTTACGATTCACCTCGAGTAACATCCCAGTCTGTGAAGTCTCCACATGGACGGTGCTTTCTGTGGGTGCGGGTCGCCCTCCAATCGCTCCCGTCTTCCCAAATTTCCAGAAAACCAGATATCCTCCCACTCCAATCAGGAGAAATCCAGTGATCATCAGGCCGAATATCCACACGTCTTCGACATCCTCAATGGACAGCTGGGAGAGGCATATGATCTTACATTCCCTCCAGGAATCCAGCATAAACCCCACCGGGTGTGTCCCCTATGGGCATGTGGGAGCCCCCTGCTTTGTTCTCATTGTTGAAAAAATCTTATCAATCGCGTTGAATGACCAATTTATTAAATCCATGGTTAGAAATAGGGTTTTTCAGAAGAAATGCAGAGAAGCGCTCTGTGGGCAGACAGGACAAAGAGCCCTGGGAAAAAAAGATAAGGGAGCAAAAAGAGAAGCGTCTGTACTCTGCGAGTGCCAGGAAGAAAAGTCATTTAGGAAGTAGTCATGTGACCGATACAACTGCTGTTTCGCTTGTCAGTGAATGCCGAATGGTGTTTAAAAGGAGCATCTCCATCTGACAACGGGATGAGTTTCTGCCAAAAAGTATCTTTTGATGCAACATTATTCCAATGATACATCATGGAGCCTGAGAGAAAACAGATATTGGTCTGTGAGGGACCATTTTGTTCTTTTAATTTGGTTTCATTTCTATGTTTCATCCTGTTGTTCTCTATTTCTGCTTGATCCATCAGAATTTTGTTTTTTTAATTATTCTTTTACATCATTCATTTGATTTTCTTTTAGGTTAAAGGGTTCATTTGTTCAACTGAACTTTCATACATTAATAAAAGAATGTTGTCAATGTGACACATCAAGGAAAATGCATGCAGACATCTGGTCATCAAGTGGGGGGTGATGTGGTGGATGAGTATCAGACCCAGCCCACACTGGGTAAACGGCACAGCGGAACTTGATGTCAGTAGTCTCATGTCTGCCTGCAATGATGACTATAGTCCAGCAGGTGTCAGCAGACAAACAGTGACACAGGGTGTTTCTCAATGTCAAGGCGCCTGGCCTTGCAAGACATCGCCTTGCAAGGCCAGGCGCCTTGCTTACGAGGACACTGTCCTTCCTTGGTCAAAGAAAACAGTTAAATGGAACTGACTTGCATCACAAGCCGCGTCAGCAGCTGGTCATGCTTAGAAGTGGGAACTGCTCACAGGCTAGTGAGTTGGTTCTTGGCGCCAAACAGCGAGGCCAAGTCCGGCTGCAGTGGAGGAATGGATGGCCAGCCCTGGTCGGAGATGCACTCGACCTTGGTAATGGGCACATATGTGGAAATTGGCGCCTTGAGCTTAGCAGGCTCGGAGGCGGCGGCGGACCAGCAGCTCATGGCAGCGGGGAAGCGCTGCCAGATGGGGTCTGAACAGCGCGTTTGTGTTGCCCCAAAAATTCCCGCCAAATCATCTGCTTCAGGCGGAGCCGGTTCTCGCACGGCTAGCCCCTTGCAGACCGCAGCCGCGGAGATGATGGCAGGTAGCTCCTAGAGCAGTGCTCTAACTGCTGGCAGGGAGGAGCGAGAAGGCACTGGAGCAGAGGAGCCCGCTGAGGGAGGCTCGTCGGCCTCCGTGTTGTCCAGGAGGGAAGAAGGGCTATGGCAGCCAGCCTCGCCATACTCCTCACTGTCGATGACATCGTCCAGTCGGTAGGAGTCAGACGGCCCCTGGCTGATGTTGAAGAACTGTAAGGCCTTGTCTAGCGAGTATGTGTTAGCCACCGGAAATTCCTCATCGGCGGCGGGGGTAAAGTACTCGACCCGGCGGATCTTTTCAGCCACGGGCAGAGTGGCACAAAACGGGCACGAGGCCTGGGGGGTCAAGGCCAGGCCAGCGTGATGAGCCCCGAGACAGACCTCACATTTGGCGTGCAGGTCGCCGCTGGAGATGGAGCCCGTCTGGCAGGCCGGGCAGGTCCTGGCGTCGCTGGACATGGCTGGTGAGTTGAATGTTGGTTTTAGATAATTTGCTCTTTAAAGAAAGCTCTTAAGCTTGGCTTGAAGAGATAACGGGGAGGCGAACAGGGGAGTCGCTCCACTTATATACCCACAAGGGGTGCCCACCATTGGGGGGGGTACATTTAAGCTCTTCATGATTGGCTGATGCTGAGATCATCCTTCCAATAGCAGCTAGCTTATGGGCTAAGACTAGACGAAATAGAACTGAAGATCACATTCTCATGAAGCCAACAGGACCACATCCTAAACAAAAAGCAGAGACCTGATCCTCAGGCCACCAAAATGGATGCCCTGAACACCTTGGCTGTGCAAAGAAATCCTGTCCATAAAAGTTATGAACAAAATTGGTGACAGAGGGCAGCCTTGGGTGAGTCCAACTCTCACTGGGAACGAGTAGAATTACTGCCGGCAATGTGGACCAAGCTCTGACACTGGTCATACAGGGACCTAACAGCCTGTATCAGAGGGGGGATGAGTATCAGACCCAGCCCACACTGGGTAAACGGCACTGCGGAACTTGAAGTCAGTAGTCTCATGTCTGTCTGCAATGATGACTATAGTTCAGCAGGTGTCAGCAGACAAACAGTGACACAGGGTGTTTCTCAATGTCAAGGCGCCTGGCCTTGCAAGACATCGCCTTGCAAGGCAAGGCCCCATACTAAAATTCTCATTGCTCCTCCTGAATTTGAGGTTCAACAATCAGACAGACCCTCCTCTCCAGAATCCCTGAACAGACCTTTCCGGGCAGGCTCAGGATTGTGATCCCCCTGTAGTTGGAACACACCCTGCAGTCCCCCTTTTAAATACGGGAACCACCACCCTGGTCTGCCAGCCCAGTGGAACTGCCTCAGATGTCCACGCGATATTGCAGAGCCGCGTCAGCCAACACAGCCCTACACTATCCAGAGCCTTAAGGAATCTCATCCGCCCATGGAGGATTGCCACCAAGGACCTTTTTGACCACCTCAGTAACATCAGCACCAGAGTTTGGAGAGCCCAACTCAAAGTCCACAGACTCTGCTTCCTCACTGGAAGACATGCCAGTCAGATTGAGGAGGTCTTAGAAGTATTCTGCCCACCAATCCACAACTTCCCGAGTAGAAGTTAGCAGCACACCATCCCCACCAGAAATTGTGTTGGGAACGCACTGCTTTCCCCTCCTGAGGCACCAGATGGTGGATAAGAATCTCCTCAAAGCTGTATGGAAGTTTTGCTTCATGGTCTCACCAAACTCCTCACATGCCCGGGTTTTTGCCTCCGCAAACACCCAAGTCTCATTCCGCTTGGACTGCCGGTATCTATCAGGTTCCTCTGGAGTCTCACAGGCTACAAAGACCTGATAGGACTCTTTCTTTAGTTTGACAGCATCCCTAGCTGCTGGTGGGTGTTGCCGCCACGACAGGCACTAATGACCCAGCAGCCAAAGCTCTGGTCGGCCGCCTTAACAATGGAGGCACAGAACAGGGCCCATTCAGACTCAATGTCCCTCGCCTCTCCTGGAACATTTTGGAAATTCTGTCGGAGGTGGGAATTAAAGCTTGTTCTGTCAAGAGACTCTGCCAGACATTTCCAGCAGACCCTCATAATACGTTTGGGCCTGCCAGGTCTGACCGCCATCCTCCTCCACCATATGAGCCAACCCACTATCAGGTAGTGGTCAGTTGACAGTTCCGTCCCCTCTTCCCCAGAGTGTCCAAGACATGCGGCTGCAAATCAGATGAAACGACACCAAAGTCAAATATTGAGCTGCGGCCTAAGGTATTCTGGTGTCAAGAGCACATATGGACACCTTTATGTCAGAACATGGTGTTCATTATGGACAATCCATGACTAGCACAGGAGTCCAATAATGATACATTGCTTGAATTCTGATAGGGGGGCTGTTCCTACCAACTACACCACTACAGGTCTCATTGTCATTGCCCACATGAATGTTAAAGTCCCCCAGTAGAACGAGGGAGTCACTGGAAGGAGCGCTCTCCAGCACCCCTTCCAAGGTCTCCAAAAGTGGGTACATAAGCACAAACCACAGTCAGGACCCATCCCCCCACATGTAGACAGAAGGAGGCTGCCCTCTCGTTCATCGGGGTGAACCCTAACATACGGGCGCCACGGCGGCACTTCTCAGTGGGAGCAACTCCAGAGAAGTAGAGTGTCCAACCCCTCTCAAGGTAACTGGTTCCGGAGCCAGAGCCATTTGTTGAGGTGAGTCAGACTATATGTAGTCGGAACCTCTCATTCCACGTGCCAAGAGCCAGCTTCTGTAGCCAAGGATCAGACCATCAAGGGCCCTGCCCTGATAATCACTATACTGTATACAATTTATTGATGCAGATCAATGCATCTTTCAGTAGATTTTCACAAAAGAAATTTAAGATTTTCTTTTGTTAACAGAATGGACTCTTGTGGAGCATAGTTCTTCACAATATTTAAATAGAAATAAGTCCACCTACTTAAATATAATAATGCTTTTCCACAGACTGAAGTCTTCTGAGTTGGGAGTTTTCACGCTTTTTTTCTCAAACACTGCATCAGTCCAAACAATTTTTATAGTGCTTTTTTCATATTCCTTCATTTTAGTAGCCATTAGTTGAGCAGAGCGTTGTTGAGTGCGTGCGTGTAATCGGTGTACCAGGAAATCATGTACTGATGAACTTTGCGCTTTGCTTGGACAACGTTGACAAACAAAATAGCTGCCTATTAATTTAATTGATGACACGTAGTTAATTTATAAACATTTTTAATCTCGCCTGTTGCGGCAAGTTCTGTGGTTGCTTCTCGCCTCACTGATCAACTTCTTTATTGTACTTTCTGCTTCTTCTTTTGCTGCTCTTGTGTGTTTCTGACTTGCTTCTTTCTCACACTCCTTTCTATGTTCTATTGTTCGTGTGTTGAGTTGGCGTCCGGTTTCTCCTACGTATGTTTTATTACAGAGTTTGCATGGGATTTCGTAAACGACTCCACATTTAAGTGCAGCTGGTATCTTGTCTTTTGGATGTACTAGTCTGTTTCTAACTGTTGTGTGTGGTTTTGTTGGTGTGTTTATGTTGTGTTTTTTCATTGTTGCTCTTATTTTTCTGTTATGCCTTTGATGTATGGTAAGGTTATCACTGGTTTTGGTTCTTGTCTTTCTGGGTTTCTGGTTCTTTGCTTTGGTTGTTTTTTTCTTTCTGTTGTTGTTTGTTGTTTTCCTTTGTTTATTGCCCATGTCGGGTATCCGCAGGTCTTTAAAGCATTTTGTATGTGTTTGTCCTCTTGTTTAAGGTCTCTTTCTTCTGTTACTATGTTTGCTCTGTGATATAATGTTCTGATTATTGACATTTTGTGTATGGTGGAGTGTTCTGATGTCCATAATAGATATTGGTCTGTGTGTGTTGGTTTCCTGTATGTGTTCAGGGTCCCGTTGGTCTGCCTGGTTATTTTCATGTCCATCAATGCTATGCTGCCATCTGTTTCTGACTCATATGTGAACTTTATGTTGCCTGTGTCATCAATGTTATTCAAGTGCTGTGTTAGTGTTTCTGTTGCAGATGGTGGCGTCACTTCCTTCTCCGTTTATCTGCGGGCAGCAGAGGACGTTGTCGCCCTCTGCTGCCCACTCTCCCCTCAACACACGAACAATAGAACATAGAAAGGATTGCGAGAAAAAAGCAAGTTGAAAACACACAAGAGCAGCAAAAGAAGAAGCAGAAAGTACAATAAAGAAGTCAGCCATTACAGATCACTGCACAAGAGAAAACCATGTAATGAACTAGGACAACACAAGGATCATAAACACCGAACAACAGAAATACAAAAGATGGATAAAAGAAGCTATCGTGATAAGGAGACGTGGATATGGGACCATGAACAGGGACGATGGAGTTTACTCATTGGATCATGCATGGGACTGCATCGTCGGAGAGGGGAGAGCGGGCAGCAGAGGGCGACAACATCCTCTGCTGCCCACAGATAAACGGAGAAGGAAGTGATGCCACCATCAGCGTCAGCCTGACGAAGTTTGCAGCCGCAAACGAAACGTTGCAGGTAATTAAAACCTTTCTGTGTTTTAAAAAGAACTACAAAATGGAATTAGGAGACAAGACTGTTATTTAACTCCCTTTTAATAAAAATATTGTATTCTGGCTCAATTTGTTTCTTTACTTTACAGGTTAATAACAATTACATTAAACAATGAATATGTTATCTAAAGTGTTTTAATAATGCCTTGACTGCTTCACATTAATGAATGAATCAACATAATTTTTTTCTGGATATAATGCCTTATTTCAGATCTTAAATGGACCAAATGAGTCTACTAGTTAAATTTTGTAATGATTTATTATCAGTATATTCACATATTAATATTACTATATCAATAAATTACTGTTCAACAGATCTACTTCCTATTAAATGAAATAAGCCTTCTCTAAGTGTTTAAGGAAGCAGTAATGTCACAGGATCTTGGCAACGCCACACTTGTTAGATTCTGATTTGTCTAATAAAGTGGCGATATCTTGCCATGCCTAATAATATTGATAATCCATATTTTCATGGAATATTACATTTCATTGAATACCTTTATATTATATTGAGAATTTATTACAAGTAACCACTTACAAAATGTTACATTGTAAAGACACTGACACTAGTCAGTGACTCGAGGCAATTTGCTAGGTTCCTTTCATAGAAAACTTTTTACTGATTGGCTTAATGAACTGAACTGTATTTGAATATTTACTTTGTGAAGGTCCTCGAGATGACTCTTGTCGTCATTTGACGCTATAAATAAACTGCACTGAATTTAATTTACTTGCTACCATCTTGGAAAGCCTACCTAGTGGTAACATTGTCAATGTGCCTGAATCAACGACTCACCAAACAGAGTGCAGAACATTCCTCCAAGGATTGGATCAGGCAAAGATGCAAATAGTGCTGTGAACTTTCCAACTGATCCCAGGAGAAACATGATCCCAGCTCCATACTGCACCACCCGTCTACTTCCAACCTGAACACAATGTTAACTGGTCAAACACATCACAAATAATCATTCTTATGTTTATTCTGTGTTCCTTCTTTGATTCCCGTCTTTGGTTCTTCACTGATACATGGAGTAAATAGTTTGTTTTTACCTTTTTGCTGACATATTTTGGCTCTCAAGGACAAAAAACATAAAACACTGAAAAAAGACCCAACAAAGGACTTTAAGAGAAACTTGAAAAATTTACCAAAACCACTACAAGAAAAAGGCAAAATAATAGGCAAAATGTAAAAGCAATGAATTCCAACAGCAAACGTGTCACACATTCAATTAGTCTACCCAATCATTAGCATTATGCGGCTGGAAGGATTCAGTTTTTAAAGGTGTTTTTAAGGTGTTGCTTGTACTGCTTAGTACACTGTCTGCTATCATGATTGTTGTTTGTTGCTTTTAATGTTTACTATGACGGGAACGGTAAAGCAATACAATTTTCGATGTAAATGGATTAGGAAACATTGATTAGACACATCGGCTTCTCTCCACCCCGTCACCCCACGGCATCAGAGAAGCAAAGAGACAGTACTCCTGGAGGATAGCCAAACACTTTAGCCAAAACTGTTGCGTGGATTTGATGAATGAGACTAGGATAATGGCAGATGCCACGGATGCAGCGAAAGCAGCGGTAGATGGTCTGACAGGCTCCACTCTTGAGTGCTGCATTTTTAACATCGCCACTTAGAGTTTTCTCTACCTACTTTTAAAGTCTCTCTTCTGGGTGTTAAGCAAGCCAGTGAATTGGATTCCTAAGTGATTTAGCAAACACAAAAGCAAGCTGGCCCAAGGCTACATCAGCCCCCATCTCCTCAACTGTGTTGTTTTATTATTTTTATTGACATTGACTTTTATCTGCAGTGTGCCAAAGTTATCCACTGTTAATGCAATTTGTCCCTACAATTTGACTGTTGATCCAGAGGGCATTTTAACTGAAAAAAGACTACTGAATCCACTTGGATTCGTTTATTTTACAATTTACACACGGATTCCCAAAGATGGCCGGGCCCAAGTCTACATGCCTACACGTAAAACTATCACCAGGTGGAAAAACAACCCATCACCAACTAAAATGCTACTAATGCTACTGTTGCTGTAAATCGTACAGCGTTGGAGTTATCCACTGTTAATGCAGTTTGTCCCTTCTAGCATCTGCGGGGTTCGAACTCCGACAATGGGCAAGCAACAAGCTGGAAGTCATCAGTCACTTGCCAGCAGAGAGCTGTTCTGTCAGTATAGAAGTATGGTTAGCGCAGCACAAGACAGATGCTCCAGAGTCCACACTAGGGTTAAGCTGGCTTTTCCAGTCCGATGTCATCTGTTACAAGTGCCGTCCAGTGAAATATGAGGTTCTCACCATGCGCAACATCTACCGAGTTCTGGCTAGTCAATATGACCCCTTTGGTTATACCACTCAAGCCAAGGTTTTGGTCTGACATTTGTGGGACAAACTCCATGGATGGGATGACCCTCTTTTACCACAGATACTACTGCAACAGTGCAAAGACTGGGAGCCTGCGCTGGGCATCTTATCAGAGGTTACATTACCCCGACCCTACCTGTCCAAAGAGGCCAACTGTGGGAAGCTGGTGACTGAGATGCATGTTTTCTGCAATGCTTCGGAAGAGGCCTATGGGTTGGCGACATACCTTAGGTTCTCCAATGGACAGGGTGAAGTATATCTGTCATTTCTGGTGGCTCATTCCAGAGTAGCCCCAAAGCGGTCCCTATTGATGCCCCAACTAGAATTTGGTGCTGCTCTTACTGCGGCACAACTTTCACGAGCCCTCAAACAAGAGCTCACCATTAGCCTAGACCACGTTGTCCTGTGGTCTGATTCAACGACAGTGCCCAAGTGGTTGAAGTCTGATTCATGTCAAGTCTTCGTCGGCAAATGTGTCGCAGAAATCCAGGAATTGACTACTGGCTGCACATGGAGATACGTTGTTACCATCAATAACCCAGCTGACGATATGACACAGGGAAAAAGCTTGAGGGAGTTGGCAGAACCAAATCATTTGAGCCAGGATCCTACGGTCAGATGCTTTGCCCTCAGCAACTGTGGGGACATTCTGGAGACAATTATCCACATATAACCTTTTCTCTACTGACTTCCTCACATCTGACTTCCTCTGCATCTGGCTGATGATGGTCCTGAACATGACACTGCAAAACAAAGGTGGTACAAAAGGGGCTGCAGGTGTTTCCGAAGGGTAACACCTGCCACTCAAACTGTTGGTGGACCATCTCCATGTGTGACCCTCCAAATGAATTGAAGAAGGGCTCGATCATCTGGATGGAGTCAAACCTGATGGAAAATACCTCTGATATCCCCGCAGAAGGTGACAACATGTTCTTGGAAGCGAAGAAGGACGCCTAGAAGGGATGCTCCTAACATTGGACCATGGAGCAGGTAAGCATTCAGGTTCTGTCCTCGTAACTGATGGGAACAGTAAAAGACGAGTCGGTTCTTCCCATTGTGGCTAATCAGTTGGTGGGCAATGCACCACTCCTCCCAAGCTTGCTGTATAGTCGCTCCTGGGCCACATTTGATAGAAGAGCCTGACTCAATCAGTTTGTTCATTTCCTCTTGGTAGATCGCGACCTTGGCTGGATCTCTGCTCAGTCGCCGTTCAACGCTGAATTAGGTTCTTCCATAATGCATTATGGACTCAAAGTCATAAGGCAGGTTCAGAGTGTTTCCTACCTTGATGTCAAAGTTTGGACTCTTGCCTGGTGCGATGCTCGGCCATTGGACGATGATGTGGCTGTCTAGATCTGGGCGGGTGTGTTCATGGTACATCCCCAGGGCATGGATTAGCTCATGGCACAAGTTTTCTGCAGAACATGAGCTTTCGAAGTACACAGGCTGGGAGCCCCCATGGCAGCCCACTTAAGATGCACAACCTTGTCCATTCTTAACTTTGATGTAGTTCAACTCATTTGTGTGCTGCACGAAGCAAATGCACGTCAACGACATGATCATGTTGAAAGCTTTTTACAATGAATGAACAATCACACATCTCTTAAACGAACAGTGTCTTCTTCAACCGGGTCCAGAGCGGGTGTTTGCTGAACTTCGTCGTTCCTTCTGGATTCTGCGGGTACGTGAGGCGGTCCGGCGACACCAACACAGTTGCATGGATTGCCAGCGCTAGCGAGCTATGCCCACGGTACCAAGAACGGTTGATTTATCTGCGGCCCGGTTACCATTGTTTAAGCCTGTGTTCTATTCCACCAGGATGGACTGCTTTCGGCCATTTGAGGTGAGAGCGAGCCGGCAGCACGAAAACAGATGGGGAATCCTCTTTAAATGTCTCACCACTATTGCAGTGCATTTAGATATTCTGACTAGCATTGACACTGATGCCTTTTTGATGGCTCTTCGTCGGTTCATTGCCCGCTGAGGAACACTGGCTGAGCTGTTCTCTGACCAGGGAACCAATTTCAAAGGAAAAGAAAGGGAACTCAGAGAAGCCTTCACTCAGATCTCTTCCCCGTTACAAGAGCTCCTTGCTCCACAGAAAATAGACTTCTGTTTTAACCCTCCAGCAGCACCACACTTTGGGGGATTGCTGGAGAGGGAAGTACATTCGGTGAAGGCTGCCCTACCAGTCACTGTGGGAGCCCAACCTGTCCCAGAGGAGGTGTTATGCACCGTCTTGATTGAAATTGAAGGTATCCTGAACAGTAAACCTCTGGGTTATGTGTCGGCGGTTGCTAGTGACCTAGACCCTGTGACACCCAATACACTTCTGATGGGGGTGGCTGGATGGTTCACTCCCTCAAGTCGTCTACCCGGAAAATGAGCTCATGGGGCATCTACGGTGGAAGCAATCACAAGTTTTGGCTGATCACTTTTGGACTCGGTTCATTTGCCTGTACCTGCCAATACTCCAGGCTCGCCAGAAGTGGCAGGCCTCAGCAACTGACATCAGCAAGGACAGTGTAGTGATGATTGTGGATCCACAGCTGCCTAGGGCCTTGTGGCCCATCAAGAGGATCATCGGAATTCATCCAGGCCGTGATGGACAAGTTCAATCGGCAGAAATGAAGGTGGGAGGTAGGATCTACACCCAGCCGGTGGCCAAGCTGATTGCTCTCCCGGCCTTGCCATCGGAGACCAATGATTGTCCTGCTTCCGCTTCTTCACTCTCATAGACTTTAATGGTTTCATTGATGGGCAAATGTATTGTATACATTTGGGGGTGGCTGTAGGAATGCCCTCAAAGTCTTGTTTTGGGACAGATTTTTCGTTGTTACCTTCATTTTGAAGCTAACCAGAAGTTTGCTACGGAAGTCTGGCTAGAGATAAAATGGCTTTAAGTCCATATCTCTCTAGGCTTACGTCGCTCTAGGTTTGGGTTCTGGGTTCCTCTCTGCAGTATGTTGCTGCCTGGGGAATATCATCTGGACATGGTCCAGTGTGTGCATCAATGAACAGTAAGTGTAATGTTGGATTGATTATGGCTATCGGATTAAGAATTATGCATTTCCTGTTTTGTATGAGAACGCTGATGATATACCTTCCCTCGGGACCGATCGGTGCCAGGCCACTGGCGTCTTGGTCGTACAAGGAAGCATGAATGTGCTTTATATGATCATACGGGAACATAGATGAGTACGGCTTAGAAGACATTGTTATTTCATCATCTGAATCTTGGTCCACTGTATAATTCTGAGGTAAACCCAACAGTGCATAATTTCATCCCGCTGACAACAGTAACTTCTGGAGGGTTCCCGACAGCGGTCGTGATTGGAGGTGCTGAGCCGGGTTGTTGTTCACTCGCGGTTTGCCTTGCGGAAGCTGTGGGGTTCCTGCAGAGGCTGCAGTCCTGTCCCCCAGTCTCGGAGGCGTTGAACCCATGTCACTTGGAGACCTGGGATTCTCTTCCTCCAGAGGAACTGATGGTGACAGCGGATGAATGTCAACAAAGATTGAATCTCGTGAGTGCCAAAAATCATCTAACCAATTG